GTCCACAGTGCCAGGCTCCCCCCTTCCAACTCTTGAACGTGAGCACATCCTCTGAGTTCCCCGACTGGTTGCAAGCTGGGCAATCCAGCAAGGGCAGACTACACACTTATCTTGAGCAAGCAACTTCGACAGCATTTACCAATTGAAAAAAACAGTCTTAAAGGAAAGAGCCTAACAACCAAGAGTTCATCACCTGGCTCGGCCTCAGCGGCTTCAGGCCTCGTCGTCCATGACCGGACTTACCCACATCGGCGCCGAGTGAAATGGTGGAACACGATCGGCACGGAGTACATTCCGTTGCTAAAGGAAATTGGGATTTTCTTCCCATCTCGAGCAATGTGTCCTCCAGTCTTGCTCATCTGGGTGGACCAACCCTTGTCGGCGAGGGCTCCTGCCGAAAGCGACGGCTTTGAGACTGCCATCGCTCGAAAGCTGCACTGCCCCGTCAGGCTCCATTGCCGATCCCAATAGTCACTGTCTCGCCTGACGCTGTCTTGTAGATCTTTGAGTTCACGCCTTCAGGCTGAACAGGCTTGTATACGCCCAACGCTGCGGCGAGTTCGACTGGGATACAGGAAGTGGCTGCGCCTGAATCCAAAGTCGCCAGCTCCAAACTCTTGAGAGCCAGTGGATCCTCCTCGCCTTCACTTGGCTCACTTGTCGGTGTTGGATCTGGCTTTCCTTTTCCTTTCTTAGCCTCACGAGCGGCATCTTGAGTTGCCAGGTTGACAGCTCGAGTCAGCTGTACTTTCTTTTGCTTCTGCTTGCCCTTCTCGCGGCCTTTCTCGGAGGCAGCCGTAACCGAAGCGGTTCGGCTCTTGCCCGGAGAGCGGGACCGGGACTTCAACCTGAGCATCTGCCGCGGCGCCTCACTTGATTCCTCCTGCTTGGCCTCTGGCTCGCGGAATCGTTCCATATGCTCCTCGGTCGAGCTCTTGAACCAGGCCATGTGCTCCTCCTTAGTCTTTCCTTTCTTCTCAGGAGGTGGAGCTGTCTTGACCACGCACCTCTGCTTTGGCGTCTTTGGGCCGAGATCGTCTTCTTCTTCCTGCTCGGCCATCATCTTCTGCATGTGGGAGGTCTCGGCGTCTGCCACATGCCGTGGGGCGTCTTTTGAGGTGGGGCTACCTCGCTGTCCCTTCGCAGTCACGATATTCTCTTTTGCTTGAGGGCCCATTCCTGAGCCCATGGATTGAGAACCTTTGGTGCGCAACAATTGATTGCCATATGGTGATTCCATAACCCTGAGTCGTTGTCGCACTTCAGGGACTTCTGACAAGCGTGGCACACCATGAACTTGCGGCCATTCTTGTCCTTGTGGGCGCACTTGGCGACCCACTCATCATAGCTGAGGACGCGCTGGTGGAACATGTGGTCGAGCCATGGCACAGCGTCATCTTTTTCCTCTTCTTCTGGTGCCTTTTCTTCCTCTTGCTCGCCATCATCGTCTTCTTGAGCTGGTCTCATCTTCCTCAGCTTCGTCTTCAAACCCTGCTCCATCAAGCCCTTCAATCTCATCCAGGGGATTGATGGTCTCCATGACTGGTGCTGTGAAGGATGGCGCACTGGTTGCTCCTTCACTTTCGCGATCGCTGCGCTTGTTCACCACGTAGTCTTTGGGGTTGAAAACTGCGGCAGTGAGGGCCTTTTCAATGACATTGCGGGCTGGATGACTTGTAGTCGTCCATTCTTGACTCTCCCGCTTCAACTCTGCCAGTTCGGTGGTGGAGAGATCTCTTTTCCTTTTGGCTTTTCAGCCTTCTCTGCCTTTGCTGGCTTCTTACTGCCACGATGCCTCTGGGCCTTCTCTCGACCTCGAGGCTGAGGTGTTTCCTCAAACTTCTCTTCATCATCTTCATCATCCCAAGCTTGAAGTCGACCAGTACCCTTGGCGTGAGCGATCTCATAGCAGTCGAGCCTCAGGGTAGTTGGCCTCGTAGTCGCGCCAAGATTCAATGCGACCTTGGGCGCTTGCAACTCGATGTTGCTCAGCACGATGGCGACTCTTCTCCTTCCTCTTCGCCAATCATGGATCCATGCCTGATGCCAAATCTGCTGAGAGCCTTGGCGACGCCGCCGGCAAGCGGCGCGGCTGGAGGTTGGCCTCTTCAGCAAAAGCTTGGCTTCTTTCTCCTTCTCAGCATACTGCTCTTGCAGCAGCTTCATTTCCTCCTCTCGCTCAAGGACAGCTTGATTGGCAGCCTTGCCTTGGGCTTCGGCCTCTTCAATGGCCTTTTGGATTGACTCGGACTTCTTCTCGTACAGTTCACGATTGGACTGCATGGTGTCCTGGATGGCTTGGTTCATGACTGCAATCCCAACAGCTGCAATCCCGGGGCGACCTTTGCCTGATCCAGGATTCTTTGGCGTTGCTTTGGTCTTGACGTCAGCCTTGGCCTTTGCCTTGGCTGCTCCCTGGGAAACTGCGGCAGGCGCTGCTTTCTCCATCTCGATGGCAAAGAGAGTGGTGACGTCAGCGGAATACTCGGGCTCGGGTTGATGGTCTTGAGCCACAGAGGCTTCAGATTCTTCAATCTTGCCTTTAGAATCTTTGCCTTTGCCACCTTTGCCTTTACCCTTGGAGTTTTGGTTGCACAAACTGTTCTTGTTCCAATCATTCTTGCACCAATCAGTCTCATTCCATGAATTGTTCCACGACGAGGGATTGGACCAACTCGAACTTTTTCCCTTCTGTTTGCCTTTGTCGTTTCCTTTGCCTTTTCCTTTGGCTTTGGCCAGACTCGCAAGTGAAGCTTGCATCTGGCTGGCAGCTGCGGCCAATGCATCAACATCCATTGGCGCTGATCCTGTCTTTGCTTCTCTTCGGCTCTTGACGTTCTCGAGATAGGCCACAATCTCTGACTTCATGATGTCATAGTCTGTGAGTCTTGAGGTCAGGGTGATCTTGGACGAGCTTTGCTGGACACATCTGTTGCAGACAGCTCCTGGCAATATCATCATCAAGAACTTTCTACTTTCGCTCTTCATACTTGCGCCTGATGTTTTCCCAGGCTTCAATGCTCTCTCGCAGCTTGTCTAGCGCGCATTGTTGTGGGCGCAAGACTTTCTTCAGCAGTACTGAGTTTGCTTGTGGGTTCTGTGGATCATACTTGGCGATCAATCGTCGCAATGCCTCTAGGCCAAAGTGTCGACCTTTTTGAGGTATTCTTGACAATCTCGAGGGCTTCTCCCTCACACAGTGAGATCAGAGCCTGTCGGGCCTGAGCTGAAACAAGCTCGGCTCCTTCAGGATAATCATGTTCCAGAGATGTCTCATTGATCTCTGTATCTTGATGCTCTTCAAGGAGCTGAATGCACTTTCTTGCATTCTTGTGACTTGTCTCGATCCAAGTCTTGAGCTTGAAGTACCATGAGTCCCAGGTACCTGTATGTCCACTGAACTTGTCAGGCTTTGGGATGCCTTTCAGTTCTGACCGGTCTCGCACTTCCACACTGGTTGCGATGTTCCGTGTGATAGCCATTTGCTGAGCGTATGCTTCTGCCATTGCTCGTTGCAGTTGATTCTGCCCTTGCGCTAGTGCTTGCATCATCTGTGCAAATTGCTGTGCCATGTCTGTATAGCCTGCGCTTGTGCTCCTGGCTGTTGTGCCATGTTGACTGGAAGGTGCTTCCATCCCATAGCTCCAACTTGTGGATATGGAACACCGATCCTTCGACCAGGCACGGACCAGCATTCAAGCAAATGTGAACGCTGCCAGCCCGTCGATTGAAATTGGCCGACAACCAACTCATGGCCTCGGGGTTGGTGCTCCCCAGGGCTCTTACATGCACTGTCAAACTGCCATCTGCTGCCAGCTCCCGCAACAAAACCACGAAAGCCGCCTCGATCAGGCAGTTCTGTGGTAATTACTTGTCCTCGACGGGGGGCGAAAAGGCTCCATCGCTCGAAGTTGCTCACGTCGTACTCTCCCAACTCTCCACTTACAGCCTCTGCAAAAGCCGGGGCCGTCATCTCTTCTTTGGTGTAGGGGGTAGGCCAGGAATGGCCTCGCGCTTCGACTGGTTTGGGTCGAACTCAAAATGAGATCTATCCAAACTACGGAACGGGTTGGACTCCGCTCTGTGCAGTCGCTTGTGCTTGCGACCAGCCCGATGCTTTGGCCTCCTCTTCCGAGACCTTTTCTTCTCTCCTCCTTCGTCTCCTCGATGATGTCGACGTCGATGATGTTCGATCCTGCCTGGGCCGCTTCGAACTCTCGGGCCTCTCACGAGGATCATGCACTTCGGATCTCCGATCCTCGGGCACGGCGGGCTCACCAGCCTCAAGGGATCGATCCTTTCTCTCCACCGGCCGAGGGGCACTAGCCTTGGACGCTAAGCCCTTCTCGCCCGTCCCTGGAGGGACGATAGTGGCCTCCGAAGCCTCGGACTCCTCCTCCTCGGACTCAACCTCGCAGCTCTCCTCCTCTTGAGGTTCTTGAACCCCGCTGCCTCGAGCAGCAGCCTCACTCTCCGGCTCCTCCTTCTTGAGGCTGCGCGCCAGAGGAGGGCGCTCAGCCGCGGCCGCCGAGGCCTCGCCAGGGAGCGCTCGGGCGTGCCCAGCCGAGGGGGTCGCTCCCCGAGTCACTCGGAGCGCCCGCACTGTGCGTGCAGCGCTCACGAGGACGTCGGAGGCGACCACCCTCAGGCCCGGGTGATGCCAGGCGAAGCCCAGCTCAGTGCCCAGCGCTTCCCACGCCGAGCAAGCCAAGCACCAGGTGTCCGCGTGCGCTGGTGGCGCACGCTTACACCTGGCGCACACAGACATGGGCCACCGCGAAGGACCTATTGAGCCCGTGGCCAAAGATGCAATTCGTGCAACTTATCTCACCTAAAGGAAGATTTCATATATATATATATAATATATATATATAATATATATATAATATGTGTATATATATATATATATTTGTATGTGATCAGTATGCATCAAAACCGGGCAAATTAACTGAGGCCTTGGTAGCAGCTGCGTCAGCGACAGCAGTATCAGGGCAAAGCACTGTGCGACCGCAATCACGTGGATCGTATGCATCTTGGCAGCAATCATGGAGATGGAGAAATGCCTCAGCCCAGGCAACTCGTTGATTCTCCAACTGTGCTGCAGACTCTGAGCGGCTGGACGTCCTCCATGGAACTTTCATGAATCCAATTGAAGACGACAGTCGGAACCATTGCAAGAACACCTGAAGACAAACTAGGCTCACATCCACAAACTCACGTGCAACAGCTGGTTGCAGCTTAAAAGCGTATCCCAGCTCGACGATCCCTTGCGTATGCCGTCTGGCCTTGCTGGAAGAAATGAAAAGAGAAATGTCCCAGCTTGACGGCCTCTTGAATTCTCCACAAATCAGGGCCTGCTGAAATCTCGCAAAGAGTGAAGCCGTATAACCTTCTGTTGACTCAACCAAGTAGGAGACAGCCTCGGCAACATGCTTGAGCATCTATCCGTCTAAAGCCTCAGCCTGATTGCAACTCTCTTAGGGCAGGGACAGGGCAAAAAACGGCTTGCACCTTCCAATCAGACAGAAGGAAGCGAATGCTATGGTGCCCTGATGAGTCATACTCAACCGCCTTAACCTGCGGAACCAGCTGGATTTCGTTTCCATCCCCCACTTGCTTCTCGTGCTCCTTCAGGTCTACACTTGGGAGCAAAGCAAAGACGAGCGAAGCACATCCAAGAAATCCAAGCCTTCTTTGCATGCGAAAGCTCCCAAAGAGCTGCGAAGTAGCACTTGCAGTACATGTGATGATCCTAGCAGGAACAAACATACTTCGATTATCCTCCAATATCCCCAACTTGGTGCATGATTTTGCTGTCCTCTGCTATGACATCGACATCCCAACCATCCACTTCGGGATGGGAAGCCAATGCCAAGGTCATAGAATACCTGTGAGAGTAGCCACGAATCTAGTCTATATCATGTCAGTGCCTGTGTCGCACGATGAGTAGGCAAAGGCTGGGAAAATGTGCTGACTGGCCAGTGTCGCGAGCTCGAAAATGAGCCTGAAGGAACATTCAGGCGACAGTGCAGTATGTGTCCCACTGAAAAGCATGAATCTTGACACTGCGAACGGCCCACGCTGCGTGTGAAGATGTCCGCGTCAATGCAGGAACAGAAAATATGTTTCGAACCTGCACGGGAGCGATTGACTGTTTGTGTTAGTGATGAGATTGACTGGCAGTCTCAAGTTATGGACAAAGGCAACACTTGCCAGGCGCGCAAGCAAAACTGGTGGCTGCCAAATTGTCCAGGAGCGTTCCTCCTTGTCCATCAGAAGGCCTTCAGTATCATGCGCTCGATCGGAAAGGTTGGTCACTCCTTTGCCCGCCTTGATAAGTGAGAGCACTCAAGTACTGTGGATGCAACCTGAGTGATAAGGACTGACATGAATCTGAGCATCAATTGAAACGTGTCAAAGACAACGAGGCATGTGAAAGCGCAAGTGCCAGTACACTCCACCCGACTGCAAGGGTCGCAACAGTGTGTCTGCGTCGGCCACTGTGAGGAATACGCGAGACCTTAGCTCAGGCTGGACTGCTATGCACTCAACCCGGCAAAGATGCACGGACTTCAATTGTTTGACACACTGTTCAACAGTGTTGTAAGACACAAACAAATCCCGCTTGGACAAGGATGCTCCATATCTGCGCAAAGCCTGCAAAGCTGCTAGTGAAAAGCAGGAACACATCAAATAGGATCGTGATCACAGGTCACCTCTCTGAAGGCCCATTGTGTGTTCGAAGACTTTCCAGCCACTTCCCCAGGAAGGTTCTGGCGAACATGCATGGCAGCGCACGCTACTCACTACTCAGTCCCTTCACAAAGCAAATGCATGTTCAAGCTCTTACTCCTGTGGATGGTAGGTCGCGAAAATGTCGGCAAAGAGGTGTTTCTGCCCATCAGCAAAGATCAGCAATTCATGGGAAACATGCAAGATCGTCAGAGAAAAATGTCCGTCCTTCTCGGCCATTATTCGTTCTGCCTTCTCTCGTCCAGCAGGACCTTCCCTCGCCTGAACAGCTTGATTCTCAAGCTCAGCGCAGACCAAGAAAGAGCTAGCCGCCAGCTAAGCATGTTGGAGACAAACCTGCTCAAAATCTAAATGGCCAGCTAGACCTCCATAGCGAGGACGATGTGTACGCAGGACTTCGCCAAGCGACTCCGTGCCAGGTTGTCGAGAGTCTCCTGAAGTTTTGCTCCAATCCGTTGCGCTCTTCATGATTGAACCAATGTGGTGAGGTCCTTTAGCATCTTTTCGGCTTCCATGTAATTCGGCAGCAACACTATGTGCTTCAAGCCTGCTCGTGCCTCGTTTTGTTCTCCGCACCGCACTGAAAAGCAACTTGGGTAGGTAGGTCATGCTAGGTCTAACAGGGAGCCGATGTTGACACCCACTGAAGCGAGGACATCCAATGGCATCTCGTGCAACTTTGCATGCCAATCGATGGCAGCAGCCTTCCACTGCACAATGAATCAAAGTACTTCTACTTCTGCAGTGTACACTGCCCAAGCCCACCAAACATTGCCTATTTTAATTATGTTTATTGTTTCTGAAGTAGCGCAATATTGTGAGCTGCAGCTGCATCAATCTAAGTGCATTTCTAGAATGTTGTTGAAGAGCTCGAAACAGGCAGCTCGCACATGTGGTCACCCGTGTGAAATGGATGAATTTAACCGTGAAATCTTACAAATTCTTCCAAGGGCGTTCTGCCCAAAAGTGCCTGACGCATTTTGAAGACACCGGCAAAGCTGGCCAGCGATAGGTTGCTGATCCACAGCCAAGTGATTAGAGTCAGCAAAGCTGTGACGAGTTCAGCCAGGAATGTGGAGAAGATCACAGAGAAAAACACCTTAAAAAGCGACATTCCAAAGGTTTATCAACATAGAGCTGTGAGCAACAGAAATATGCAGAAACCCTGGACTGAGCGTCGCTGCAAATGCATAGGTGGCAAAGAGGAAAATGGCGGGCGCCATGCAGCACAGCCATGGTAGAAGTTCCACCTGCTTCGACTCAGATCGTCTAAGGCTGTGAAGGAAACAGCTAGGCGAAACAATGTGTTCCTATCAGACTGAGAGATACTGGGAGTGGGTCATCATATGACTAGCTGACAAAAAGACTTTGTGCCAGGATAAACCCCAAGTAGCGAAAGATATTTGTGGGCAGTGTCCTGCAGCAGCACCAGCACCCAGGCTCCAAAGCACACACAGCCATTGACATCTAGCAGCAGCACCCTGCAGGAGCACCCTGCAGCGGCACCAGCACTCAGGTTCCAAAGCGCACGGCGCACTGCCATAGACATCTGGCAACAACACCCTACAGCAGCACCACCATCCAATCTCCAAAGCGCACAAACCCATACACGTCTCGCAGGACACCCTACAGCTGCACCCTGTAGCAGCACCAGCGCCCAAGCTCCACGGCCATCGACATCTTGCAGCACCCTGGACCCTGAGAGGCACCCACCCAGGCTCCAAAGTGCACACGGCACCTATTCCTGCACTTGAAGTAAGAACCCCAATAGATCTCGACTCTGGGAAATAAAATAGCAAAATATATCATGCTTTCTCTTCTAGTTGGGTGTACTGATCACTATAGTGTGTTATTGACGTCCGGTATCAGTCGACCCCAACTGCTCTCGCCTGTGAGAGGGAGATATGTCGTCGCGGCCCGGCCCCAAGGTCGCCAACGCCAGACCTTCAAGCATTGGAAGAAGACATGGAAGGTATAAGATATGATTATATATATATATGCTACCCCACCCCCTTCAAGATCTACCTTTCTTATACTTTTGACAGATGCAGATGGTTGTGGACCAAGGTGTAGCTGTGATAAGAGACAGTTTGATAGATATAAGTGAGCAAAGGAAACACAAACTGGAGGACAAAAGTTGATTGGATAAGAAAGCAAAGATGTTGCAGCATTAAGAAAACATAGTGGTTCTTTGGGGAGAGAAATAGAACACAATAACAGTAATGAAAATGAAAGGCGTGGCTGGGCTAGAGCTTTGCATGGAGTGCAGGTCTGTGCGCGCCCAGCCTGACGCCAAAAAGTTTAAACAGCAAACACAAGTTTCCAGGAGTCTTGAAGGGCGGCCTGCAAGAGGGAAGAACAAGGCCTATGTGTCGAACACGGTTTTCGCAATTTCCCACAATCAGAAAATGATGATCTTTACACCAAAACTGCGCATTTCTATGAATGTCACCACTCCCCCTTCTGTTAGACAAACCCGTATCAGGGGCCTAAGTTTAAAATAGAAGACAAAAACTAGTGTGTAAAGAAAGAAAAAATGTCTATATTGCTGGAGAAACTTGAATGTTGAATCCATGTCCAAAAAACTTAGCTTGAGTAGGAAAACAACTAGTTTGTTTTACTGTCTATCTCCAATCGATGCATAGACATATATATATACACATATGGTACCCCCGCACATCTGACACCAAGGTATTACAAACACATGAAAAAGGTAGATATTGGGGGGGGGGCGCACCATATATATATATATATTTACAATATGTATATATATGTATAGACAGTACAAGTATATATATGTATAAGAGGATAGAGTCCAGTTTCATCGGATCCAAGATGTGGGCAAGAAAATACGAAAAGCACGTCTGGCAAGCGAAGTTGGTGGAGAAACAGCAATTGACCTGTTGCCAAATCAGTTGTGGCCCGCCTCTTGTAGGTTGCATGTGAGGTCAATGGCGATCCCAATGTAGATCTGAAAAAAAGAAACTCAATTACACCAACAAACTCAAAGATTGCAAAAAAGAAGTTGAAAGGCAACAAAGACCAAAACAATAGCTGTCTATCTGAAACACCAAGGCATGCGACTCAAAGACTCAAAATAGAATACTTGCAGTAGCGTATTGGACCAAAGCCTTGGGGTGGGCTGCCCTGCCGCAATCCTAGCTACCGAAGCTGACTCCTTAGTGTGACAAAATCGCACCTCCTCCTTCAAAACCATGCCAAGCGCAAGGTTCTCAAGCCAATTTCTAGAATGGGATGTAAGGCACGAACGGGCAGGTCGACATCTATCTCAGGTGGATTATTTGGGACTTTGCCTTTTCTTTGCCGGGCCTGCCAAAATCGAAAAGGAGAAAAGGAGCTTGACAAATATGTGATCCGTTCAAAGCCAGCAAACATCAACCCTGACACGTCCTGTGAAGAGGGACAATCTGCCAAACTCTGAAAGAAATGGAAGCGCCAATGATAAATCACCAAAGCAAGATAAGTGCTTGAAAAAGAACCCATTTTCGTTCTTTTCCTGTTCAAACTGACAAATGATGCGATGCACCTGCGATGCCATGCACAAAGCTAACAAGCTCACGGGGCGAAGCTGTTGTGGCTGCGATGCCAGGATCGTGGAACATGAGGATCTTTGATGGGGTCCTTGTTTCTTCTTTAGGCATCCCTCCTTCTTCTTACTGTCTTTCCTTCCTTCCTTCTTTCTGTCTTTTCGCGTCTTTTCTTTTCTTTGCGTTTCTTTCCTTTCCTTTCCTTTTCTTTCTTGGTGTCTTTCTTTCTTCTCACTAAATGGTGTTTGACTTTGCACATGTCTCCACCTTTGTACTTTGTGCACACAAAACTTGCTTGGAATCAGCAGTGTGGAACATGTACAGCCATCTCTTAGCTTTGCGGGTGCTTACCACAGAAACCGATGCGACACTCAGCCGCATCCGCTCCTTCATCAGCTCCTTTTACTCCCCGAATCACACAAACCGTGCGTCTATGGTCAATCGCACGCATGCGAAGGGCATTTGGCTGCTAAAGATCTCTCGAAGAAGCTATGCAACAAGGGCCGCAAACCCAACGTTACATTAATTATAACTCATGATTTCATGATCGGTAGTTGTTGTGTATCCGGTGATACCTTCAGCTGCTGAAGCTAGCTCAACGCAACAGCAAAGAAAAAGAATCTTAAACTGTGCGCTGAGCTAGCATGTCTTCTGAGCGGTCCATCGCATGTGTGCTCAAACGGCAAAAAGAGGACACTGAGGACACCTCAAGTTCTCGCACCTCTGCGAGACATGAGAGGCCATCACTTATCAACCATCGCCACAAGGAGAGCGAGAATAGAAAGCGCACAGGTACTTTAGCATCTTTGGAATGTATGATGGACTCTTACTGATATGTAAGATCTGACGGCTCTATGGCTCTATAGTTGGTTTGCTGCCTTCAAGCAGAATCTCAGCATCTCTCAAATTCACCAAGTGAAATCAATCTCAGGCTCCAGTGCCACCGCTTCACAAGTACTCACAGCAACTTTTCAAGTACTTGCTTGAACGGAGTGAGTCCCATGAAAAGTCACGGAGCCTGAAGAGGCCCTGATGACTCAAATTAGAGCTGTCCCCAAAGGTCTCGCAACTTGCCTTGGAGTTTCTTTCGGCTTTCTCTCAGTTTTCTTGTGTCTCAGCGCTCAGTCTCTGTGCCAGGCTGTTTTGCTGCCGCTTGCGATGCAGTCATAGGCACCTCCAACTCAGCGCGCTGACTTTTGCAAGAACGCTAGTAGGTTGGAGACCATCGCTCTTAGGTTGGAGGCCATCGCTAGTAGGACCCGTGTAGGTCCGCCTCTCAATTCTCTTCATCGGTTTCGTACTCAGAATCGCTTTGAGCATTAGCGCCAGCTCTGTAATGCGCCTGCATTTCGGCAGTCTTGGTTGTGAAGCAAATACCAAAAGCATCCAAAAGCCAACAATGGCCACTCGAGCGAAAGCAATTTCGTTTTTGCATGTAGACTTGGGAACAGCCTTGCTCTGGGCAGGCTGGCTTTCAAAAACCGATTGTTCCTGCAAGGCTAAAAGTTTCTGAGATTGAGCTGGACGAACTGCATGCAACAAGAAATTCATATATATCTAAAAATGAGAAAAGTTGTGAGTCCATCGCCTGACTGGTGTTGATCGCATCATTTCTTCCGTGTCCAACCACCGCCTGTCGCATTTAATCTTTCGGAGAACTCATGAAAGACCGTAGAAACAATAAGCTACTAGGAACAAGTGCCTTACTAGTAGTAACAAGTGCCTTACTAGTAGTAACAAGAAGCTATTCGAAACAATAAATAGAATTAAATTGCCCACATTAACTTGTCTTGCACACCGTCATTGAAAGACCGTTCCTCAACAAAAAAATGTCGTCCATGGTTTTCAATGTGTTAAAACCGACACACTGGATCGATTCACCTGACAAGAGATACATAATATTTGACGCCAACCAGCATGGGTGAAAATATCAATGATAAAAGACTTAAAACGTTTCCAACTTAATCCAACTACATCCAACTACTATAGGTCCCTCTACCACTCTGACCTGACCTGATTGTGCTGCACAACTAGGGGTCCTGGTCAAGCACTGGAGAGCCAAGCCATTCTTGCACGCAAAATCTCGCAGTTTTGTTTCGCCCCCTTAGCACGTCATTCCCGCAAAAACCCGCTTGCTATGACTGGGGTTTGCTACGAAAACATGTCATTTTAGTGGCGTTTGGTTCAAAGAAGGGGACGGCGACGACGTCCGTTGGACCTTGACCAGGCATCGGTTCATGTAATTCCGCACAAACACCCAGTCTTACTTTCGGTACACGTGTGCCTCATTTCATCCTCTGCTTTTTTTTCTAACTCCCTCCACACTTCTTCAATCTTTTTCAACGTCACTTCCTGCTTTCATCCTCCCTTCCTCTTCAGTTTCTTAGTTCCTGGTTGCCTCCTCAGGACTTCCTTTTGGCTTTCAAGGGCAGAGATGCAAGATTGATGCAACCAGCAAAATGGGATGGGCACCAAATGCATTGGCTCAAGCAAATGGACATCCTTGTAAAGCAAACAGTGCAATGCTACCACACCACCAAGTGGTACAGCGTGGGAGATGAGCAGAGTTACAAGTTGACAATATGTAAAGTAATATGTGCATACGATTGCATCATATCTGCACTATGAGAAGCAATGACAAGAAGCTACACTGGCCTTGCTTTGCTGAGGCTGGCTCTCGAAGACTGATTGATCAGTGCCCGCGGAAACAGTGTCTTTGTGACTTACCTTCAGTACATCATCGGAACCTATGGAAACAGTTGCACACTCAGCGGTTTAAAGCAAGCAAAAGCCAGCAAAGCCTCGTATACCCTGGTACATGGCTGCAAGATCGAGGTCCAAGTGCCAGGCCATAGCAGAACTCTGACTAGGTTGGCTTTCAAACACAGAGGGCTGATCACCAACGCTGGTGGCCTTGGTGCGGAATGGCGTTTTTGCTTGTTTTGAAGCTTCGTGACAAGGCCACCACTTGCGAAGAATGGCCATATGCAGCAGAAGATTGCTTTGGTTGGCTTTCAAAGACCTGCCAAGTTGCCACTGTTCAAGGTTGTTTTGTTTCACTCTCACTCTCACACTCTCACACTCTTACTCCCTCGCCTTCTCACTATATCACTACCTCACACTATCTCACTATCTCACTCCCTCACTCCCTCACACTCACTCATTCTCACTCAATCATTGTCACTCACTCATTGTCACTCACTCATTCCGATCCCACTAATTCTCATTCTCATTCTCACTCTCACCCTCACTCTCACTCTCACTCATTCTCACTCTCACTCCATCTAAATTCTAGATCGCACTGGGAGGCACACAGATTGCGACTGGTCCGCAGCAGTTGCGGCTTTGGTGTAGGAGGTCTCTGCGCGACTGGCACAGGAGGAACACAAACATTCTGGCAGTTCGCTGTTCTCTTTTCTTTGGGTTTCCCTCTGCACAAATTTTAGAATATTTCTCTAAATCCGGCTTTGCTTCGGTTGGCCTCTCCGCAGGCGCGCTCTCAAACACAGATTGGCCGTCACCAGCCACTGGAGCCTGGGACATCTAAAGGCAGTTAGGCAAGCGCCTTCGGCATGCTGCAAATAAACGTTGCATCTGAGAGTCTGTGTCAGAAGCAGTGACCATTGCGGAGGACTTCTTCGGCTGGCTTTCGAACACAGACGGCGCCTTTAAGCAGTCAGTTGGCGGCAGTCAGGGTCTAACAGGATCGCACGCAACTGACAGAAATTGTCTTACAATCACACTGCCTCACCAGCACTTAGGCCATCATTGCGACCGTAGCCCACAGCTGCCTGGGCCAAGAACACGGTGCAACACAAACAAACAAAATCATCAAGAACATGAGAAACACCGCATGGCACTAACCGGGATCACTCCATCGAAGTGTGGCCTTGCTTTGAGCTGGCTGGCTCTCGAAGGCTGACCTTAAAGGAGAACAAACTCACCTAAGCTAAGGAAAACCTGAAACGTGAGGGGACGAAGCACGCTTAGAGCAAGGCGCTTCACTCAAGAAATTCCAATAAGCGATGTGAGGGTCTCTAACAGTCCCACACAGACCCCTGATTATTCATTCTGCGCATAGATGCATGTGCCGTGTCCTGAACCCGCTTTCGGAGGTGCTCCTTTTTGCCCCCGAGGCGGCCATCGAACAAACCTTCAAAAACTCCTCCATAAGGATCCATAAGGTCTTTTTTGGGAGAACTTGCTACCAGAACCCACTTTTTCAAATGTGTTTGTTGCGGCTAGATTGCCTTCAAACACGCCGAATTTCCTGCATCAACAAGTCATTATTGCTGTTTCCCACTTTGTCCCGGGCCTTATAGTTTCTTACAAGTCACTTACAAAAGAACGACACCAGAATCCCATTCTTTCAAGGTTAACCCACCAGCATCCCAACACACCTTCTTTTTGTACATGGTGACAGACGAAGCTGGTAAACGGGCGAAACACCCACTCACAGATCTCACCGGAATCGCACAACTCCACCTTTCAATCTGGACCCATGGGTCACTTAACTGACGAATACCAAACAAGCCAGCATCAAGAAGTTCGTGACCGGTCGCCATCTCCCTACTGCAAGAAACTGTAAACTGCTGTTGAGTTCCTCAACGGCCCCTGAAAAACACAAGAACCTCATTCTTTTAAGGTTGACCCGCCAGCATCCCAACACACCTTCTTTTTGCACATGGCGACAGACAAAGCTGGCAAACGGGGTGGTAAATTAAAATTTATGGGGCAGCCATTGACCTCTACGAAGGCCTGACCCCGATCGCCCGCGCGCGACACCCCATTTCCCTTCAGCCTTTTTGTCGCCAGAAGGATTCAAGCATTCCATGACGCTAGGCTTCCTCGGCTTGGTGGGTCGGATGTTGACGGCACACGAGTGAACCAGAACAGCATGCGTTGGCCTGGTCGCATATTTCCCGCGCAAGCAAGAGCTGTCTCCATTCAATTTCACGCGCGTTGCCCTTGATGAGCGCATCCGCAACAGAGAAGTTATCTTGGAAGAAGATAGCTCGAGCATTTCTCAAACGTTGATCCCAGGCACATCTA